ATGAAATGCACCTAGTTTGGCTGGAAAGGGTTGTGAAATTCAGGGAAAGATAACAATACAAGTACAAGAATTCATACCCACAATTATGTTCCAACAAAATATGGTACTAATAATATTTTCAATGCTTGTTGTTTTGGTTCGATCAACCACATTTCCCATGCAAATACGGTGCACGAAACTAAGTTAAAATGTTACACATGCCAATATTCCAAATACTCATAATTACTTGTTCATAACTTGTACCCGTTTGCAATCATAGCTATTTCAATGAAAATAAAAATACAATATAATACACATACAGTATCAGTAGCTGTGGTTTGAAATTGAAGTATTAAGTGTGAAATACACTAAACATATTTTCGTGGTAGTTTTTGTTCAAAAAATAATGAGCTTAGTCTTATTCAGTAATCATAATACATTGTTGTACTTCATGTACAATTGGATTATCCATTAGCTATGGTGATGGAAATATGTAAGTGTGGCCATGAATTTCAGTGACCAATCTGCGTTAATTGAGCTAATTTATGCAACTTAGGGAAAACAAATGCATCAAATATTGGTAAATATTGTGTAATTTGCATTAATTAGTATGTTACAATTTCAAAAAAAATACAAATATCTAACATCACACGATAATGTAAACCTCTATTCGCAAGTAAAATAATAACAATAAAAACACACAAATTTAACTTTTTTTCTTAATTCTGATAGTGGTGACTTATAACAACATCAATGAATCCCACAGTGTCATATTGGATTCGAGACGGGTCTAGAGACGCGACAGTGTGCTCGGCTTCGCCTCTAACTGATTATTTTGCCATTTTACCCTTCTCCTCATCAGTCAAAGGCTTGTACGCATGCAGTAACGTAGTCGAGCTCATTACTCAAGCGACTATCCTTGTCCGAGTCGTTGAACACATAGGCTTAGCATTCCTAAATACATTAGCCTTGTAAAGTGTTGGGACAATTATGCCCACTTCTAATATGATGATGTTGTTAATGCATCCGCCATTGCTATGAGTGGCGCCCTCTAGAGACAAAGCGTTAATGGAGTCCGGTCGAATGTGTTATCTGTAGTCGTATGTCGATAAAAAAATACTAGATTCGAAACGAGAACGACTACATGACCTATGTTATTAAGTTGACAATTTGAACGACATTGCTTTACACCCACTACGTCATGTTGACGTCACAGAATCGCTTCGCCGATAGAGGGCGCGACTAAAAAGAGTAGTGTAAGTGCAGTACAGAGAACTTCTTAAACCCTTCTATCATCGGAAGCAACGGACGTAAATCTCGGTTTTTTAAAATCTGCCACATAACCATGACAGTTAATTAGACTTGTCGCAATTATGTTCCTCTAACGTTATACACTAGCATTGTTAGAATGTATGTACAATACACATCATCCACAGAGTAGTTTAATAACATGGCGGCCATACTCGAATTGTGAAAACTACAATGGCGAGCATTCCATTGTCATAATTAGAGTGGGGCATGGCATTTTATAACTCCACACATACTTTAGAAGCGAAATTCCATGGCAGCATTGATGAAAACAATGTGATACTAATGCACGCAGTAATACAGAATGTATACTGGCAACAATGGTTATTGATTAGTTTATGCCTCCCAACTCAATTTACCGAGACTGCATTATATTAAACTTGCATTCTCGCTTTGCATTATATGCAGAACATCTCTCACTTATTATTGTGGTGACCACGAGAAATCGGTTGGCTTGGAAACAGATCCGGAAATATTGGCGGGAGTAATAAATAACTTCTACTTGACGGTGTTTTTTACTCACTAGATCAATTGTTATTCCTCAAGGCAATTATCGCGTGTGCATGTTGGTTTTTATGCGACTTACGTGGCTCATTATAATATGAAATAAACAAGATATGTAGGAATAATAATCGTTATTTATACGCATAATAATCAATTTCTTCGGGCAGCTTTATATTTTTGGACAGTACACGACTAATACCGAAGGTTTCAAACATCATACTACAAAACATGATTTGTAATGTACGTATGTTAAGTTAGCTATGAAATTAACGTTTCCATCTTTTAAATATATTGTGCCCAACATTTAAGAGCAGTGGATATGTTATTTTCACGGACAGAGACCAAAGTACACAAGCGTAAACTTTACCCGGGTGTGTACAGCACAGAATGACATATGAATTAACCAATAAAAGCTACATGGCTGAATGATTACTGCTACAATCCAAGTACGTATACACACACCAGTATACTAGTAAATTTCCACTTCAATATATAACGGTTCTTGTATTATAGAAGTTATTGGAGTCAGGTGACCTTGTATCTAGGCGTACGTCATGTTCGACATGAGTCCCATGCGACCCATGCAACGCGTGTAAACTACAATACACGAAAATCGGAGAAACTTTTATTAAATATAATTAATTACAACCCTAATAAACATAATTCATATTTTATGCATGTCCATTTCAAAATTACGATTGTGTGCAGGCAACAGTAATCATACCCCATGAGTAGCAAACTTAGAAAGTCATCAGAATCTTTTTTGAAGCCTAAATATTAAAGCACACGCTAATACGCAACACCTCGTGGGTAGACGCAATTTCCCACGCTGAGATCTATTTTTACAAATATATACTTTCGTTGTTCTAACCGCAAGTGACTCTGGGAAAGAAAGTGGGGTAGACGTTTATGAGCAAACAACGAAACGCTATGGCCTTCTGACGCATGCGCGGGTGACGATTCTCCCCGCTTCAACGCGATATTGACCCGGATAGGTTCAAATTAAAGCAGTGCGAGCAATTATCATCTGCCCTCACATAGGTGGATATACTTATTGCGCAAATGCTCGTTTACCAAAACCGTCAGTTTATTCGACATTTTTCAGAAATGATGTGAATAGTACACGAACAACATCGCCATGTGTTGCTGTACATACGTACGTATCGACATCACGACGTAGAGGGCGATGTTCATTAGATCCGTATTTATGTACACGTTATACAGTGGTAGTTTTATTGTATCCCTGAGTAGGATTATATTTAAAACAGCTTGCTTTGCTCGTCAGCTGCAGTAAGAATAACAACGATGGGACTGTCCATGGCTGAACACATTAGATGTGGTATTGTTCTTTATCTCACCATACTCGTACTCTCTATAACGGTTTTCTGGATTTTCAAAGTAACTGGAAGAATGGACTACATCTACAGCGAACATGGCCGTGGTGTCTACGCCGGCAAGTACGGAGCCGTGAACGAGGATGGAGGTCGAGCATATGGTAATTTATCGAAGGTACTCACTCGTTTTAATAATTGCCCTTTTGGAATATTAATATTTGATAGAAGCGTACTTTGTAGCAGGCATGTTTACGTCATCATTACATCAGAGTATATTCGTTAAGTAGTATATACACGTATATAACATGTATTATGTATACAAACTCGACGATAAGAGATATACATCCCATAATATCTATGATAAATATAGACAGACATGACTGTATCAAACTCGTTGAAATATGAAATGGCCAGAATATGAGTGATGTTTTTGTTTGTTTGGTCATGCGCATTTGAGAAGCAGGCTGGTACAACTTAATCGTTTCCCCTATATCAAGGCAATGGCCGAAACGCTTCCTGTTTATTATCAAAGCCGCGATACGATGTCTGCTAAATGACGCCATTCTTGGTGGAGCGTCGTCGAACTGCTTTGATTTTTTATGGTGTTGTGACGTCATCAACACACGCAGTTCCGAAACTGTGACGTTGTTGTATAATCAATCAATCAATTGCATATTATCATAATCAATAAAACGATTAAGGAGAAAAGGTGACATTAACTCGATGTGCATGTTTATTATTGTAAATGAGCACCATTTACCCAGGTCCTATTTCGTTTGTGTACTTTACACGGGAAGACCGTTTATATCTCTCTCACTGATCTCACTGACCCTGCGTTGTTAACGTTGTCAGCTTGTCAGTTGTTGGTTGGTCGTCAGGAGTTTGTTCTTCTGGATTGTTTGTTGATTACGCTGGTCTGCCGATGGACCGGTCTCCCCTTTTGAGCCAACAAGTCTGAAAATGTGTTCTATAATTTCAACATTTTAATTCATAAATTGTATATTGTCCAGTATCTACTGATGGGGTGGTGGGATAGCTCTAGAAAATATCAAAGTTGCATTTTTGTTGTTGTAATTTTCAGCATTTTAACCTTTGAAAAAGATGTGTTGGGGTAGAGCGTGGAATTGCTGACGGTTCATCTATGTCCGCTAGGTTCAAGTTCATATAGGGATACGAGTATTCTTTAAGGGTGTTTACAGTTCTTGCACTAGGAAATCCCATTTAAACTGTGATATTTTGTTTCCTTGTCACAGGGCACATTGCTGACTTCAACAAGGGTAAGGCCATACTATCACACGCGAGTTAAAACCATGGTCGATTCTGGGTCACAATCGAAAACTCCGTCACAAACTGAAGTAAATGCATTTCCAGCGAAGACTTTTTCTCCTCGTTCCAGGACAGGTTATCTGCTACCAGTGATACACAAAGGCGGACAGAATGTCCAGTTCAATTCATTCAAGAAAGCAGCCGCGTTTGCACTCCTTAGAAACCGTACAATTGTCTTGACACCCTTTTTCTTTCACGGTGGGGACGAACGAGGGTGGACTATTCAACACTGGCGAGAGTTCAACATGACCTTTGACACAGCGGAGCTTCAGAAAATCGTCCCCGTTGCCACCTTGAGTGAATTTAAACGTGAATGCGATGGCAAAATGAAAGCACTCATCACTTCGCACTACAGGATTTACAAGGCGAATCTCACCCTAAATCGACTTCTACATCTGAAACCAGTCGCCTATAACAACACGGTCAAAACGTCTAGGTACGTCTATGATAAACTCATCTTTGACGACGAGCCGTGCTTGGCGCTGCTTCTCCCTCATTATCTCGACATGCCCAAAAAAGAAGTGTCCGATTTGATTGACAGCCATTTTGTACGCGCACCGATCATAAAAAGAGCCGTGGATACCGTTCTTCGTCATGCTTGTCAAGGTGGCCACATGATGGCGCTACACTGGAGAAACCGAACTGGAGAAACGTAAGTGGCGTTCTTCAGATTACCTTCAAGTTGCATGTCGAAACTACATACAATGTGTGCGTTATGGCGCACTCATTGGTGATCATTTTATAGACAGGACTTTAGATTTAGATTTTTATTTATTTTATCGAATTCTGTACTTGTATGCCCCCTAGCTCACCCAAAACAAGCAACTATAAATATACAAGGTCACTTAGTGAATGTGAATTTGTTAAACCATGCATCCATTCAAAATATTAACATATTATTAAACGCGTTCTGGATTTAGCGACGAGTTTCTGACGCACGCGCAGTAGGAATTGTAGTGAATTAATATGATTTCGCTTCTGCATATCACAGGTGTTTCCACTTTTCAGCAGCAGACAAGGTAAAAGAAAAATGCAGAAAAGCTATCCCTGAAGCCGCCATAGCCGCTGAGATGGTTGCTCACTCGGTAAAGTGGCATATGGAGAAAGAAAACACTACATGTCTGTTCGTCGCACATCCCCATTATTCAAAGGTGAGTGACATGATAATTCTAGGCACGACCGGAACTCAAGTTTATCATACATATTGAAACATAATCGAAATTAACTTTTGGATTGACATTTCACATTCTTTTTAAATTAAAATCAATGTATGAAATATACATACTTCTGGACGATCATATAAATTAATTTATATGCATATTAGATAACTTTAACAATAATTATTAATTGATCGGCGCGTGCAACCCGCACAGTTTAAAAATAATTACGTGATATGTGTATGTTTTATGAAGACCTAAGGCCGTTTTACATGAGGCCATTAGTGAGGCAACATGACGACGCTAACTAGTACACGAGGAAACTGACTGTAGCGACGGATTTTCAGACGGTGTCGCCCGAATTATCTTGGCAACGGGAATTGTTGATGCGAGGCGTTGCATCATGTGTTGCTGGTTACGTTGCCTCAATAATCGCCTTGCATACAATTCCAAAATGAATGTCAAGTTTAATGTTGAATTGCGTCATGTTATTCTTGTTTGTCTGTTAGCCTGCTATCGACTACTTCAAGAAAGTGATTCCAGGGTACAGAGTGATAGACTCTGATATTGCTAGAGAGTTGAAAGCTCCTGAAACGGACCGAATTAAGAACGACATGTACCTCATGTCGCTATTCGACCAAGAAATGTGTTACAGTAAGTCATTGTAAGATTCTGCAGAGTCATCACAGCGCCTCCTATAGTCGACAATGGGATCTGCAATAAGCTTGCTAATACTAATAGTTTATTGCATATCACGCATTTGCGCTGAATGTTTTGATACACACAATCACGAAAGAATGCACATATGTTGTATACTGCAAAAAACATTCAAGTTTACGATAAATCATAATATATTGTGTGTATAACTTGTAGTATCAAATAATAGCAATGTAATTTCCAATCTATTAGTATACTGCATCTTTAACGAACATATACTTTTTTACGGATTTCACCGTGTTTCCATTCCGAAATGCCGCAACTACTCAAGTTCTTACATAGCTCGAGTAAAATTAAAATATAATAAGACAACTGAGCGACAACTTATCTTTTATTCGCAGGATCTAAACTGTTTCTTCGTCAGCGTTATTCGAGTTGGTCCGATTTCATTGAAGAACAGAGAAATGTTATCGGGACGAGTACGATGCGTATAGCTCAGCTACAAGGATTAAACGGCCCGGAGTTCCGTGACTACATACAATGGGTTTGATAATGCGATATGGGGAGGGGCGGGGTGACCGATTATCGTATGGTGAGCTTGTCTTGACGCTGACTTAATCACGTATTATCAATTGTTTTGAAACCCATGTTAAAATCTTTATGCTTAGTTGTTTTAATCACAAAATAGTACACTTGTATCTCCGGTTGACGATTTGGCTGGTTTCGCCTCGAGCAAGTATCATAGTTCATATCAAAATTCCAAATTACAGTGCATTGTGGGATTGTTATGTTCGAATCGAACGCAACTAGTACTCCGCCAATCATAACGCACGCCTGCTCGTGCAACCTGAACTAACAATCCTACAGTGCACTATGATTTAGAATTGCGATATGGTCTATGGTACGGGCGCTCGATGCAGGAAATATTAGAATATAATAATATTTTCATATGAATGTATATAATGTTGTATCAGAAGCAGGCTCGACTAGCTTCACTATTCTGCAAATAAATACGATTTAATTTGAAAATATTATTACATTCACCTATGCATCAAAGGCCCGTGGTCTATGGGGAACCAAGCCGTTCGCAAGAAACGCCGGGAACCGCCGAACGAAACGACCTGCTTGGAGGTGTAACGTTGTCGTCGCATTCGTGCCGGCGTGGCGTGGTAGGTCGAAGCTCAATATTCAATGCTTGAGCCGGTCAGAGATTCAACCAAAGAGATGTTTCCTCAGGTGTGTCATAGGGACCCGGCGCGGGGCGTTTTGAATCATCGTGGAAGAGTCGATATTCGAGTAGTCCGCCCGAAATCATCATGCGCCCTCACCCACCAGAGTGCAACAGCATTTTGCATCACTAGGACCAAGATATGTGTTCCTGGACTGTCAAATGACAATGTTAATGCTGCACATAATAGCAAATACCATATCACATTAATTCTAATATATATTTTCGTTACTCCTTGTTAACTTAATATTAAAGTAAACTCTTTTCAAACATTTTTACATGATCCTGCGTTATATTTACTTACTCGAATTATACTTACTTACTCGAAGGAATGGAAATTTTCAATTATACGTCAATATGGCGATCAGAATGTTGATTTATTTAAATTAGATAAATTATTTTTAAAATAGATTAGACAGGAAGAGCGGCGGCGTTGCCTAATTTATAAAACAAGGAATTGCTTATACCACGAGCAATGATGTATCATTTTATTATGAACTGAATCTGCCTCTACTGAGGTCACAGATCACAACGTGAATAAATGTATTATAATTGTGATAAATACGGATATAACAGTTTTCACTGACCATCAAAAATCCACGCTGAATCAAATAACAGATGAAAAAAAAACCACTTTTATCTGCAAGAAGATTTCAACTCGCCCGAGAATAGATCTTCTTCATAGATGGCCGTTGAGTTCTCGTTCAGACCGAGAGAAACGAGACTTGATTTTTGCCTTCCGCTGTTCTATTTTTAGCCGAGTCTACTGTTCCAAAAAAACATGATTATAACGCATTTAATTCGCAGTATAAACCATTTCTTCTTTATTGAATATTGAGAGTAATGTATATTTACTTATAACCGAATGTGGTCAGCGCAGTCAGGCATATTTTTCTTTATAGCTTTTCAATCTATAATAATATTAGGAAACAATTCTATTTTGTCTTAAGAATTACATTTATATACAATGTAACGTTTTTATAAATCTCAAGGGGAGTAATGCCGGGCCCGGGAAAATACTGTTTCCATGAATGTATAATTATGTATAATTACTTAGTTATGTGATTATTTAATTGTTGTTTTCTCTTCTATTTTCAATAGACGCAACATTCATTTATTATGGTTATATGAGTGTAACACATGATCGCCTGTACTAGTATTTTACAACATATATACTGCCTCCGGTCACATGTTGTCAAGACAACTCACATGTCGCGCTTCACTAGCTTTTCGTCATTTTCGTTTTCAATATGAGTTGTCAAACAAATAATACTTTTAATATTTGCCAAATGCATTTCTGCAGGTACACACTAATTATCTGGCAGCTTCAACGGATATATAGTATTAAAAAAAGTTGTCCTCTATTGTTTTCCAATGCAACACGTCAATGAACTCGGGGATTTACGAAATACCTGTGTCGAATCGGACACTGAATTCTATATGTATATCAGCGCTTATACTACGTACACACTGTAGTTCTGCGACTGTATATGTCTTTGGGGTCCATGTTATGATATAATACCGTTATAAACTTGTTGCCATAGGTAACACCACATAGTATACAATTTCAAAATTGCCTGTATGCTCGACGCGATATTACTATTATATTATGATATTATCAAATCGGCGGCCATTTTGGCAGACAAGACACTCGCAACCAATCAGCCACGCTCTTGTAAGTAGATTTACACTGACTCCGTTGCTAGCTCAGTGACGTCACATGCACACACGTAATACATTCGAGATACACACGTAAACGTCGAAAGAGGGCGTTACTGATATGAAATGTACTGGTACATGTATTACAAATATATATTTATTTAATTATTTTTTTGTCTTTTGTGTCTTAACTTAAATTTCCTTCGCCTGTATTTTTCAATAAAACATTTTAAGCAAATGAACAAAATGGTGGGTGTCTTTCAGTTGTGAGCAGTCAGCATAAAATGACCTCCATGTAGTTGCGCCCTCTGTCGGCGATAATGCTTATCTGGTTTCAGCTGGTTCCATTCTACACCTGTTTACTCAAGTTGTATGAGTTGCACGCACAACGAATTTCTTGGGTAAATATTCGGGGATAATTCATTGTTATCTACATGGGAATAAACAGTCGACAAATAATAGTTTGTAAGTCGTATATTACTTCAGTATTTCATTGCCTTCCATTTTCAATCAGAACTCCTACTGAGTATTGTAAATATCATGAAAAATGATAAAAGCAGTTACCATGGCAACAAATCCTGAAACGTTGACGCCCTGAAGCCATCCTGCTCTGAAGGACGCGGTGTTTAATCACCAAATAAAACTTAATTCTCATTATTGTAATCACTCAAGTCTACTACTCAAGTTTTTCAAATTCCATTACCGGATTCTGTTGGATATATTTTCTCATGAACCGTAAATAACGATGCTTATAAAGGTAAGTGAGAGGTTTTCTACAGATCATACAAAGTGGGGATGCAGCTTTAATGTTGAGCTAAAATTGTACGACTTAAACAACCAATCATAGTTGTCAGTCGGTTTGAACTACATTGCTTTCCTCGTTGACCTCGTTTTGATGTTATAGAAACGGTTTTTGTCACTAGGGGGCGCACCATTTAGGCGCTAGTCACGTGCCTTATTTCAGTTAAATTACGTCACTTACAATTCACAACTCGACACAAGCAATGCATTACAATTTTCCAAAAATAATATTTTTTTATTGATGTACCGAGAAATAAAATACAATATTTTGAAGTCAGTTAAGACAGATGATGACACATATACAATAGTTGATGAAGTGAAATATAATTTGAATTACAATTAACACAATAATTACACACATATGACGTCACTGTAATATTTAATGAGATTCATTGCATTGTACATAAATACTGTTTTTATACTATGATTTGATCAGTGTGGATTATGTACATACACTATGATACTAAATTAGGAAAATGTCTTGACAATTCAATTTCGAGAAGAACTTTCTCTTGTATACTGTATAATTCATAAATAAATGCATACTTAATTGAAATTATTTGCATAAATATATATATATACACACTTAACGAAAACCTGTTAGGTTAAATGGTGGTGGTCGTGTCCCAAAGATCTGTTTGACAACGCGTGTAAATTAACTTTGTTTATTTCCACGAATTTCGGACACGCGCAAAGCCCAGGCCAGGAAACAAAATACGAGGCTTCCCCCATGACAGGGTTCACAAAATTCAAATATTAGATACTAATAGATCAGCTCGTTATCTCTGAGAAATATAGTTATTTCGAGATATACAAATATTTGGTGACAACGAAAGTGGTCTAAAATTGTAATAACCACTGAGTATTAAAATCGATTGGCAATTTTTGTCGTTAGCTAAATTTATTGTTTTTATAAAAACAACATAAAATCATCGCATCCTTTCCTATCTTCTCACGTATATTGGACTTGAATGGCGAATTTACAGGAAATTGTGAATATCCTGTATCAATAATTTGGCATGAATTCTTACAAGCGTGGACGGCTTATGCAAATACTGCACGTGGTCCGTTGTCCAATTGTTATTACACTATGAATCCCTAATTTTCGAGTTGTTAATTTTCCTCGGAATTCCGCTAGAGGGCGCATCTAAAATACTCTCGACCGAAAGCGGTGTCGTAAGATTATAATCTAATACATAACAACTTTGCCGCTTTTTTGAGTTGTTATCACTTCCTAAAACAACAACCAAATATGCACACTAATTTGTTCGTCTTTGTTCCAGCACATCTGTACATTGTCGTAAAAAAACATTCAATTCGTTTTTCTTTTAAACATAGGTGACGCCATATAAAAAAGCAGTGTCACGAGTCAATTAATATTAACTCGATTTGGGTTTATTATGTGAATGAACTGTAAACACAGTAAATTTAGTACCTGGTTTTTTTTTATAGAAAGTCGACCAAAACTATCCTCGCGAATCGGAGATAAACATTCAGGCACATAGGATAGGACATCGAATATCAACTGATAAACTCTTAATCACGTACATTACGCGTTGTGCACGTGACTTCTATTTAATCTGACTTCAATTTGAACTATTGACACCACCAGCTGAAACAAGCACAGTACAATTCCGGTGTTCGTTTGAGATGCAAATACTTATCATCCATCACGAGTTATGACGTCAGAATTATGACAAGTACTTAAAGGGTGGTGGTCGACGCGCTGCGCATGTGCGACATTTGATAAACATTGATTTCCCACAATCCAATGCGTTTTCCTAATGTAAATCGTGAGGTTTGACCTTGGCGCGACTTGCACTAAATACAGCCGGCGACTTCTTCGATACCTTCCAGTCATC